TGGCGGCTGCTGCTGCTGCTGAGCGCCGCGGGGCTCGCGGCCCTGGGCGCCCCGCAACCCCCCAACATCCTGCTGCTGCTCATGGACGACGTGAGTGCGGGTGGCGGCGGGTCGGGGGCTAACGCTAAACTGCACCCCGACCCCGACCCCAGCCATGACCTCAGCCCTGACCCTAACCGTGACCCCGACCCCAGCCCCAGCCAGCCCCAGCCAGCCCCGACCCTCACCTCAATCCTGAGCGGTCCTTCCTCACCTGCACCCCTGCATCTCTGGGGCGGGGGCGGGGGCTGCCGGGTGGACTGACACCCGAGGGCAGGTGTGCAAGCAGGCCTTCCCTTCTACATTTCTACCGTGGCTACCAGAAAGTGTAAAATTGCTTGGGTTCCCACAGGGTATTTCCGCTGGACAGCCGCTTTGGAGCGGGAGGTTTTGGGTGGTGGGGTGTGGCCCCCGCCAAGAATGGTGTCCTGTAGGAGAGGGTGGCTGGGAACCCTCACACCCTTGCCTAGGGGCCCTGCATGGGCAGGAGGAGCTGTGCTGCTGCCCTTTCCTGTAGGGCTCTTGGCCACTGACACCCAGAGAACCCTGCAGAGTTCCTAGCTGGGTCAGTGAAGCCATGCTTGGGACTGTTTGCTCAGCGCAGCCTGCACATCTGTAACCAGCCCAGCCTGGACAATTTATAGTGAGACCTTGGGCCAAAATTTTAAATTTCAAAAATAAAAACAGGCCAGGGATGGAGCTCAATGCAAAGACCCTGGGTTCCATTCTCAATACTGAAAAAAGAACAAAAGAAAAAACTTTTTTATTCAAAGGACCAGAAATGAAATCAAACTCAAAGGAATTTAAGCAAAGGCAGGGATTCCTTGCTGGTGCAGCAGTGCATCCCTGTAATCCCAGCTTCCCAAAGACTGGCACTTAAGGATCACAGATTCAAAGCCAGCCTGAATTTAGGGAGACCCCATTTCAAAATAAAAAATCAAAAAGGCTGAAGATGGAGCCCAGCAGCGGAGCACTTGCCTAGCACATGTGAGGTCCTGGGTTCCATCTCCAGTGCCACCAAAAAAGGGGCAAGCAGGGAGAATTCCCTGACTCTCCCCTGACAGGACAGAACAGACCACCCTGGCTGCAGGCAGGAGGAGCCCAGTCTTCCAGGTCTCGTAGCTCTCCTGTCCCTACTCTGACCCTGTGATGCCTGGTCATGACCCTGTGGCAGCGCCAGGTGACTCAGGCTCACCCAGTCTCACAATCAGCTGACCTAGTGGGACAGCAGCTGTCTCAGCCTGCCGAGTCCGTTGGCCTGGCCTGGGTCAGACCCTGGAGCCAGGCATACTGCAGGGAGGAAGAGATTGCTGACCTGCCTGATGGGACCCTGGGGCCCAATCCCAAAAGGGCTACCTCAGCTGAGGAGGCCACCTGAGTTTATCTGATTTACCTAGCCAGGGGTACAGGCAGGTGCTCCACATGCCAGGTGACAGGGTGTGGCCTCAGCAAGTGGAAGGCCTCAGGCCACCTTCCCTGGCCACACAGTGTCTTGCCCTGGAGGCTGGCTGCCTCTGCCAGGATCGCGTGTCTGGATCCCGAATGGGCAGCTCCATGGCTCTGGCCCATGCAGGCCCACACTGGTGGAGAGTGGGCCGTCTCTAGCTCAGATTGTGCAGGAACCATTGCCCACCATGAGCTGCTGCCCACAGCCCAGTCTTTCCCTGGTCCAGGCAGCACTAGCCAGACAGCGGTGCCATGCTGCCTACGTCCTTCTTAGAGGATACTGTTGTAGGAAAGGGGGTTCCCCAAAGCTAGTGCACTGCACCATGCAAGGCTTAGTCACCTGCTGGCCACAGTGACCTCTGAGGGACCCTGCCCCCAGATAGGCAGGGGGGCAAAATTACAGTGCTGCCATCAGCTGGGGCTGGGCTGGCGAAGTCTGATCATTGAGTGTCCTCAGAGCCAGCGCATGTGTGTGGGGCTTGTGGGTGAGTTTAGGAAACCCAGGAGCCCACCTCCACTCAAACCTGGGGTGACCTGAGAGTAGGGTACTCGGCATCTGTTCCTTAGATGGAGGACACTTCAGTTTCACATGCGTCTTAGCGGGTGCCTGACCCTAACCAAAAGGCAGGGCCTCGGTCTAGGAGGCGTCGTCACTCATGGCCACAGCACCCTTCTCTCCCTTCGAGTGTGGACAGTCATCTGGGGGTCTTTGGCACTGTTTTCTCTTTGCAGTGCTAGAGATTAAAGCCAGGGCCTTGTGAACGCTAGGCCATCCCTCTACCATTGAGCCACATCCCTACACCTTTATTTTTGATCCGGTCTTACTGAGTTGCCAGGCTGGTCTTGAACTCATGATCTTCCTGTAGTAACTGGAATTACAGGCAGTCACCACCTCACCTGGCTCTTTGACCTTTTGGCAGAAGGGAAGGATGCTTCACACTCGGAGGGGCTGGGCCAGGCATGGTCAGTGGTCACCTTTAGCCTCAGGTCCTGCACAGAGATTGTAACATCCCCAATTTTATGACTGAGAAAGCCAGCAAGTAATAGAGGAATAGGTGTTGAGCAGGAAGGGGTCCACAAGCAGCCAGGACTGCTATCCTCAGAAAGGTGCCACAGAGCAGGCTGCACTGGCTGGCGTTCAGGTCTGGGCTTGTGGGTGGGAATGGCTCTGGGCCTGGACTGTGTATGCAGACACTGTGATTTACAAGGACATGACCTTGCTCCCTACCTAGCAGAGGCTCCCGTGCAACCACCTCTGCTAGAAACCCCGCCCCTAGATTTTTACCACCTTTCTGCTTGACACCATGCACGTGTGTTGTCACTCAGTGCCCCAGGAGGCGAGCTCCGTGGGAGCTGTGGAAGTGGCCTGGCCTCTTGGCCTCCCGTGTGCACCCCTGCAGCTGGCTTTGCTGCCTGTCCTTTTGCTGCTGAACCACAGCCTCGCGTACCTACGGTGACCGGCGGCTCCTTGGAACAAGGGTTTCCACACTCCCTGCTTCCTCAGTGGCGAGTGTTGTAAAACATCTCCACCTGTGTCCAGTCTGCTCCTGGTGGCCTGGGAACAAGTTAGCAGATCCTTCGGGAGCAGAGCCAGACACAGCTCCGCCCCCATGGGCCTCCTTGGGGTGGCCAGGGCTCCTAACACAGAAGTCCTGACAGCATGACAGGGAGAGGGGCAGCAGGATGTGTAGGCTCACCTGGGCACCTCGGGTGCTGTGATTGCAGCCAGTGTCTATCCCTCCTAGAGGTGCTAGGATGTGCCTGGCTCCAGCCTCCTTCTTCTCAGCCTCCCTTGCAACCAGGGTGGCTGTATGGTGTGGATCTCGCTACTGGTACCTTCCTGAATGACAGAGGTATAGACCAAAGCCCTGTGGGCCTCGCCCCTGCCTCTGCTTCTCCCAGCCGGAGCATAGCCCCCAGCTGTGCCCATGAGGAGAAATCTGTGCAGGTCAGGGAGACTGAGTGTGGGAGAGCTGCCTGTCCCACTGGGGGGGTCCCTACTGGGGTCACCAGATGTGTCCCGAGGATGCCCCAGCCCAGCCAGGCACACTGGCTCTATCCCTGGACGCGCAGACATGCCAGGCTGTGCCCTGGCACTCAGTCACTGAGGCGCTGCCCCTTCCATCATCTAGCATGGCCACCTTGCCCAGCTGCCTCCTTGCCCTGCTCCTTCCTGCTCAGCAGCTCTCTCCAGGCCAGGCCAGTGGTGCCCGTTGTCATCAAATGGAAAGGCCATTTCATTGGCTTCAGAACATTCTGGAAAGGGCCAGACAGACTCCTCTTCCACAGATCTTACAGCCAAAGGGGCCTTGCCGGGCAAAGTCCAGCCCAAGTCAGCCCTGAGGCCCGAGTGTCAAGTGTGGCTGGCCAAGAGCAGAGAAGGGGAGAGAGGCAGAGTCATCCTCGGGTCCCATCCCATTGTGGCCAGCTCTCCTGGGACAACGCTGGGCCCAGCTTTCCAACCCAGTCTTGGGGGCCCTGACCTCCCCATGCCTGAGTTGTCTCGATCACTGACTTACTAGAACTAACGAGCCTGGAAAGGCAGACCCTCAAGGCCCAGGGGAGTTGGGCACTGGCACCAGCTGAGGGCCCTGGGGCAGAAGACCAGGGCACCCACATTTCTGGGGTACCCCGCTGAGACCCCACTGAGACCTAGGTTCCCCGGTAACAGTGCACAGTCCTGCAGGGTTGGCACAGTCGCAGATCTGTATGGATACCACACCTAGAAGCCCTACCTGTCTGCTGGCCACTGACAGGCATAGCCTCCTTCCTGTCTCAATGGCTTTGTCTTTCCTGGACAGTCTGTGCCATTTTTCTTCATGACTGAATAGTATTCTACAGCATATGTTAAATTTCCGAGGTGTTGCAAATTATGACAAGCTGGTTGGCCTGAAGCACTGCCAAGATGCTGGGGGCCAGGGTGCAGCAGAGCTGCCCTACAAGACCCTCCCAGCACCTCTGTCTAGAGTTTCCTTAGGGGACATTGCTGCCCTGTCCCAGTGTGACCTCACCACAGTACATTACATCTGCAAAGGCCCTATTTCCAAATAAAGCCACATGTGACCCGGTGGGCATGAACTTTGTCTGTCACACCTGATGCCTTTGGCTGGTCCCAGCCAGGGGCTATTGGGGTCACACCACTGGACACTCCATGACTGGCTAGCAGGCTCTGTGCCCCTGAATGTGGCATGGGGGGCTGGGTCCACTGTTGCAGGGAGCTCACTGCCTGCTTTGGAGCCGTGAATTTGCATAAAGCTCTGTGTACTGTTGCTGTCAGTTCCCCAGAGGCACAGAGGTTGTGCCCTGTGAGAAAGGGCAGCCCCTCCCCCAGGGCAGCCAAACTGGACGGAGCAATGGAGTAGAGGCCAGCAGGGCCGGGCTGGGTGTGAGCTTGTGGCTCTTTAGGGAGTGTGGGGCCATACTCCGTCCCCCAGGACAGAATGCTGCGTGCAAAGGAGTTCACATCTGTGCTCTTCCCTGCAGATGGGGTGGGGCGACCTGGGGGTGTATGGAGAGCCCTCCAGAGAGACCCCGAATCTAGACCGCATGGCTGCAGAGGGGATGCTGTTCCCAAACTTCTACTCTGCCAACCCTCTGTGCTCACCATGTAAGTCCATGTCACTGCCCACCCAGGGACCCCACCCCACGTCCAGTCCAGCCCTGGCTCTGCAGGGTGAGGCCATGGGGGCCTTGGAGCCCGTCTGAGACCCTGCAGGTCAACCTCTGGCCCTCGAGGATGCTCTGTCCTCTGTGTCCTAGAGGAGTGGCTGTCCCTCCTCCCCATAGAGTCACTCCTGCCAGAGAGGAGAAACCACAGCGGTAAGAGGACCACACTGACCCGCATGTTGCCTGCAGTACAGTGGCTGTCCTGTAACCTACAGAGCTAGGCACGGTTCTGGGATAGGGCTGAGCTGTACGTACAAAGTGCACCGCCACCAGTCAGCAGGAAGTTGTGCCCACAGCCTGGGGACCAGAGGCCGAAGGAAATGTAAAGCCCAGAGAGCACTGTGTCGCCGGCACGCGTGTGACCTTGGCAGCACAGGAGCTGTGTGCGAGGTGCTGCAGAGCCAGCCAAGCTTCTACCAGACGCATCTTCACGGTGTCTCTGTTTGTCACCTCCTGTAGCCAGGGCGGCCCTGCTCACTGGACGGCTGCCCATCCGCAATGGCTTCTACACCACCAATGCACATGCCAGGAACGGTAGGTGCTGCCCGTCTGAGTCCTGGGGCCCAGGTGTGGCTGGGATGGGGTGCAGGGAGGGGAAAACCAGCTGCAGCCACCCTGGCCTTGGTTGTATACCTGGCTTCTGTCCTAAGAGCATCTGAGGACCCAGCCCAGCTCACCTAGCGCCCCCCCCACTGCCCCACCTGCTCCCAGGCACTGCCCAGCCTGGCTGGAGAGTGGGGTGTCCCTTCCTCAGGGACTCCACACCCTCCTGGGGTGGCAGAGACCTAAGAAAGCCAGGAGGCAGGAGGCCCCAGCAGGGAATGTTCTTAAACAGTGCTCAGAACCCAGATGGGTTCTCCAGGGACATCTCCCAGATGAAATGGGATTGCAGGCCCTGAGGAGGGAGAGGCAGGGAGGTTGCACACAGCCTGCACATTATGGCAGTGGACCACTGCTAGGCTGGGGCAGGAGGCTGAGACAGGCAAAATGCTTGGAGAGGGGCCGAGGCACAGTTCACCCATCTCCCTTGAAAATGTGCTGACTTGGAGGGGTGCGGGAACCCTGAGAGGGCCTGCCATGTCCCAGCCTGCTCTGCCTGGTGCTCACACACAGCCCCACCCTTCCAGCGTACACCCCGCAGGAGATAGTGGGTGGCATTCCTGACTCCGAGCGTCTCCTACCTGAGCTCCTGAAAGAAGCTGGCTACGCCACCAAGATCGTGGGCAAATGGTGAGTGGGCAAGCAGGGACTGCCAGCTGCACATGAACCCTGAGGCCCCGGGCCCACTCTGGTGGCCACGGCCAGGCACAGCTCTGCAGGGCCACTACGTGGCTGTGAGCAGAGCAACCTCAGTGTGACGCAGCTCAGCCCTGCTCAGCCCTACACTCCACTGTCTGCTCCAGGGCTCCCACATCATTGTACACAGCGCCTTGCAGGGGGACACCGGCCAGCCGCAGGGGGTGCAGTCTGGGGAAGCTACTCTGCTAAGAAGGATGTCAGCCCCAAGTCTTATGGCACAACAGGCGGTTGTGCGGCTGTGCTTTCTACTGCAGGCACCAGGTTTCTCTTCCTCCCTGGGATCTCAGGTGTAAAAACCCATGGCCAGGACCACAGACGCCCTTCCCACTGTGCCCAGGGATCTTGCCCAGTTCAGCCCTGTGCGAGCACCCTGCTCCCTGTGGCCGCTAGTCACTCCCCTTGGGGACAACTTCTCCAAGGACATTGACAGTTGTGAGGAAGCTGCTGAGACCTGAAGGACGATGTAGGAATATCCAGGCAGCTGGAGACTTGTAGGGGACAAGAGAGGGCTGCTGGGGGCTGAGCTGTGACCAGGAGGTGGGCAGAGCAGAGGTGCCAGACACGTCGGGCTGAGGGATTCCTCTTGCTGGGGGCCAGGGAGCCACATGAGGCTGGCCCTTCTGGACTCTGCAGGCCCCAGAGCACTGCCCACATGGCCCAGAGCTTTGTCCCTGGCACCCAGCCGCAGTGCCCTGGCCCACAGCTTCCAGTTCACAGTGCTGACTCAGGTGGTGGAGAGCTGTGACCAGGAGGAGCAGGAGCCGAGCAGGCCTGGAACACCAGCACTTGTAGGCTTGGGACAAGGATGCTGTGGACTACAGGCCAGCACGAGGATGGAGCCAGCTGCTCCAAGTGAAGGGGGTCCCCATCTCATAGGCCCTGTGGCCCTGCTTTAATGTCCTTCCTCATCACGGTGCCCAGACATCAGCACCCAGGATCCAATGTCATCGGCTTGACCAGGTCCTGGGGTGGCATGGCCTTCCCAAAGCCCTACATTGTGAGCCCCGTTGACACTCCTGTCTGGGGACAGGTATGTTGGCCTGCCCCTCCCCTGAGCAGGACCCCAACTCACTGAGTCCTGTGCAACGGCCTGTGCTGCTGGACACAGACACACAGGAGGCCACATGTGGCTGGACAGCTGCCTGCCCTCAGGGAGGACCAGACATCATGGCAGAGCCTGAGGGCACCTGAGATGCAGAAGACTTGGCATCGACCCCAGGCCTGGTAGGAAGAAAAGATGGAGATCCAGCTCCAGAGCCCCAGGTGGCCTGCACCATGGAGCCAGCCACACCTCAGCCAGACTCCCCCAGAGAGGGGAGACCAAATCCAGACAGACAGCTTACCTGAAGCCCAGATGGTTTGGGGTTGGGCCTGTTCTTCCAGCCCCAGCCCAGCCTTCCCTGCCACTCCTGTGACCCAGCCACTGAGTGACTGTGAACATGGGTGAGGGGTCCCGGTGACCCAGCGCAGGGTCCCAGGCATGTCAGGGTGAGACCTCCCACCGCCTCCACCAGAGTTTGTCCCAGTGCAGCTCAGAAAAAGACCCCATCCCCGGTATCACTGTTTTCCAAGTAGTAGCTTTTGATGACATTTGCGGGACGTGTGCAGAACTGGAACATGCGGACTGAGGGCTGGGATCAGACCACTGCTGGAAGCCGTCCTGCTCTGAAGACCAAAGAGCCTGGGCACCCCCAGGGTGAGACAGGCCCTACTCAAGCTCACTGAGGCCCAGGTGCCCGCTCTCTGCCGGCTGGTGGAGGGGAGCCATGAGAGTAGTACCCCTAAAAGCAGGGGTGCCCACAGCTGTGCCAGTCAGTACCTGCAGTAGGTAGAACCCAGTGGCCCCTTGCACCGCAAACACGCAAGCCTCTGCGTGGCGCCTGCGCTGTCGCCAGCGTGGGCATGCTGCCATTTTGTGATCGCCTGGCTGCATCTCACAGCCAGGCTGAGGACCTGAGCACAGCCCACAGTCCGAGCTGCCGATGCCCCACTGCCCACCATTGCTGCCTTCCTGGAAGTGATGCCTCAGGAGATTCAGGGCACATGGACACAGCCCCCAGCATCCCTGGCGGCAGCCAGCCCTGGGTGTGCTGGGTGGTGTGAGTTCTGGCAGTGTTGAGAGATCTCTCCCCATGCACCATTCTCCAACGTCTTGCCCACTCAGCACTGCAGGATACCCCAGTCTTACTGTGCCCCGACACGCTGGCTATGCCTTAGCCGGAGGAGGGCAGTGGGTCTCAGAACTTTCTTCTGAGGTCTGGCTTTCCTCATCGTGCAGCCTGGCTTTGCACACACCTGGAGCTGGGGGTGCTTATTTGTTACTTGTGAGGCTGAAGTGTCCCTGGGTGCAGTCCCTGAAGTGCTTGGTTCCTGTTTCTAGGCACCTGGGTCACAGGCCCCAGTTCCACCCGCTGAAGCATGGATTTGATGAGTGGTTTGGATCCCCCAACTGTCACTTTGGACCTTACGACAATAAGGCCAAGCCCAACCTCCCTGTGTACAGGGACTGGGACATGGTTGGCAGGTACTGCATTCTGCCCCACCCTGCTGTCCCCCAGCAGGCAGCAAGAGGGCAAGACCTGAGCCTCCTGCTCAGTGCTGGCATCCTGGGCCCCAAGAGTGCTGGCCAGAGCCCTGGGCTTAGCCTGGCACCATATCGACCTCTCTGGAGTCAGAGATCACTTTGGGACATCTGAGTCAGAGGGGCTTTACAGCTTCCCCTTAGCTTTCGGGGCTGGGGACCCTGTGCTGCCCCAGGAGGCCTGCGGGCCGTTGCTTCCATGTGCAGAAGAGGTGCTGGGAGCAGTCCGATCTGGGATGGGGTGGAAGGAAGTCACCCCAGAGAGGCCGGCGGGTGGCCTGGTGCAGGCACCCACAGCACTGAGCCTGTGCCATGGCCTGTGTCTTTGATGAGTTGCTGGTTTAACGTTTCTTTATTTTTTCTGTGTGTGTGTGTGTGTGTGTGTGCATAAACTTCATTAGTGGACTAAAAACCTCTGCCAACCATTGCCTTCTTTAAAATTCTGCCTTCAAGTTAACCTATACTCTCAGTTTCCCAGGAGGCTGAGGCAGGGAGATCCCAAGTTCAAGGGCATTCTGGGCATTTAGCAAGACTCTGTCTCAAAATAAAAAAGGGGCTGGGGAGGTAGCTCAGTGGTAGAACACTTGCCCAGCATCATGCGGCCAAGACCGAGTTCTCCAGCACTACACAAAAAGAGAAGCTTTTCTGAGGTCTAATTTGCTAGCACGCAGCTCCCCACCCCAGGGTGCAGTCCAGGGGCTTCAGTGTGTCCGGGAGTCACGTGATCACCACCCCAGTCAGTGCTGGACATCTTCACCCTCTGGGAAGCCCTTCACTACCCACCTGGCCTGAGTAACCAAGAGCTCTGTCCCCACACGCAGAGCTCTCAGGCCTTGTTCTGACAGGACCCACTTTGGGAGCAGGCAAGCTTCAAGTGGAATGTTTTTACCTCCTGGACAAGGCCGGGATATCAAAAGGGGGCTTTGTAGCTGAGTTCTGTTTTCCATCTGGATTGTGTTTTCAGATTTTATGAAGAATTTCCAATCAACGTGAAGACGGGGGAATCCAACCTCACCCAGATCTACTTAGAGGTGAGGGACTAGGCAGGCTGAGGGCAGTGTGGCACAGACAGGTGAGTGGCTGGCCAGGCGGGACGTGGGGCAGATGGTGACGCCAGTACCCCCCAGGAAGCCTTGGACTTCATCAGGCGGCAGCAGGCTGCACAGCGCCCGTTCTTCCTGTACTGGGCTGTGGACGCCACGCATGCCCCCGTGTACGCCTCCCGGCCTTTCCTGGGCAGCAGCCAGCGTGGGCGGTGAGCACCTAGAGAGCAAGTAGCGTGGGCCTCGGGCTTCCTAGAGCTGGGTGGTGGAGGGGGCTGCACAGCCGCTGTCAGCCCAGCCCCCATGGGTTCCTCCGAGTGAGGGCCGGCCTATCCTCCAGTGCTCTGTGATGCCCCCAGCTGTCCTGCTGATGGGCTGTCACCACGCACAGGTATGGGGATGCGGTTCGGGAGATCGATGACAGTGTGGGGAAGATGCTGAGCCTGCTTCGGACCCTGAGCATTGCTGAGAGCACCTTCGTCTTCTTCACCTCTGACAACGGCGCCGCCCTCATCTCTGCTCCCAGCCAAGGCAGGTGCCTGGGGTCCAAGAAGCAACCATATAGTGAGCCCCCCACGGTGTAGGTGCCAGGTGGGGACTTGGGTTTTACACCCCCCATGGTCACAGTCAGGGACCCCCAAGGGCATGGGGCCCCCAGGACCTGCTGGCTGGGACCTTATCATAGGGAGAGGGCCTGAGTCACCAGCGAGCAATGAGGCCCGCATCTCCATAGGGGCCAGAGATCCCTATTCCCCCTGGAAACTTGCAGTCAGACCCTCCCATACAGGAGCCCAGACAGTTGCCCAAGACCTCGACCTTGCCTGGCCCTTTGTCCCACAACAGGCCTCTGACTCTGGCATGGCCTGGGAAGGGAGGATGGAAAGCAGGATAGGCTGGGGCCTGATGGGTGGTGGCTCCCCAGGTGGCAGCAATGGCCCCTTCCTGTGCGGGAAGCAGACCACGTTTGAAGGTGGGATGAGGGAGCCTGCGATTGCATGGTGGCCCAAGCACATCCCTGCTGGTCAGGTGAGTTAGCACTGCCATGGTGGCCAGTGCCAGTGGCTGTGGGTGCAGCAGTCCTGAGGGTCAGGAGGCGTGGTACACTGGTGCCACCAGAATCCAGAGCAGCACAGGCCAGCTGGATGTGTGGCATTCGGAGCCAAAGGCTGTGATCTGTACAGACAGGTGTGCAGGGGACAGTGGCAGGCATAGGGTATGTCCTGCTGCATCCCTGGCCTGGCCCAGCTTCAGCATCCACTCCTGCACAGGCTTGACCTGTCCGTCACCCGCAAGCACAGCTCCTGAGCCTAGCACCATGTGCCTGCCCGCTGCCCTTCCTTCCTGGCCTTTTCTGGTCTTCTGGGGGCACTGCTCCATGCTGGGGGCAACTCTTTACCCCTGTAGTTGTGTATGGGGAGCCTGAGGTCCCCACACACTTGGGGGCGGCACCCCATGGCCTCTTACGGCACTTCCAGGGCAGAATCATTTCCTGATGGCCCATCCTCTGGCCAGCTGTGCTCCCAGGCCCACTGGCCCCCCACAGGTTCTAAGGTTCCGCCTGACTCTGACCCTGTGGCATGGGCTGCCCAAGTCTGTGGACCAGATGGGCAGTCTGGTTGGGGCTGAGGTCTCCGGTGGGTTGGCCATATCTGTTACAGGTGAGCCACCAGCTGGGCAGCATCATGGACCTTTTCACCACCAGCCTGGTCCTCGCAGGCCTGAAGCCACCCAGCGACAGGGTGATCGATGGCCTTGACCTGCTCCCCACCATGCTGCAGGGCCAGCTGACAGATAGGTGGGTGCCACTGACATGCGCCTCTGCCTTGGCCCTCCCCGCTGGTGGTCACGGCTGGTGCCCGTGCAGAGCGGAGGGAGATCACAGGCTCCCTGTCCCTCTCCGCATCTTGTACTCACACATACGCTCACACATACACTCGCCTCGCCCACCCCGTAGTCCTCACTGCTCTTGCAGCCTCAGTCTGGGTGGGAAGGAAGGACAGACCACCCTGTGCGCGGCCCTGCCTGATGCTCCCTTTGCACGTCACCCTCACTCCATGTCCCCAGTGTCTCGCTCACACAGACCAAGCTCTGGGCAGCTGTGAGGAGCATAGACTGAGAAAGCTATGGACCGTAACAGAAGGTGGAAGCAGCATGGAGAGCTCTCTGGGGGGCCTCTGGTTTAGGGGGGCACGCAGGAGAGTTTGCCTTGTTTCCAGAATTGCTTATTTCTGACTTGAAACGTGGCCCAAGAGTTTGGTTACTGCTGAGGAGAGAAGGTGCTGGGCCCCTGGCCTCCCAGCACCCAGCCCTGCCTCACCAGGGTCCAAGCAACAGAGGGTGTGCAGTGGGCCACACCCTGCAGCCTTGTGGGCTGTCCCTTTCCTCCTTTGCTGGGGGGAGACCTATGGTGGAACCCAGGGCCTGGCGCAGGCGGGCAAGCTCTGTTCTGAGCCACCCCTGCCACTTTCCATGTCTCTGGACAGCCCCTCTCGCCTTGTCATCTTTGTAAATGTCACATGAGGCCTGGCTCGCCGGCCACAAACCCACTGAGCCCCACACTTGGGCTAGGCATGACCCTCCTCTCCCTTCCCACAGGCCCATATTCTATTACCGTGGCAACACCTTGATGGCTGTCACCCTCGGCCAGCACAAAGCCCACTTTTGGACCTGGACCAATTCCTGGGAGGAGTTCAGACAGGTACAGGGCTCGGGTGCGGGTTCTGGGCGGGGCTGGCCAGCGTCTGTGATTACCCTGGCCCGCTGTGCTGAGCAGGGACACATCTGTGCTGGGCCCAGGGTAGATCGATGTCCAGGGTCAGGGCTGGGATGCTTCTGCTGCCCTAAGTGTGTTTCTGGGATCCCTGGAGCTGCTCTGGGGAGCAGGGGCTGCTGCAAGGGCCTCTGCCCCCTCATGGGGATAACAAAGTGCAGACACAGGGCTGGCCTGGCTGGGGCCAGGTCCCGGTGGCCCTAGGTCGCCATCACGGTGCCAGTGGTGGTTTCCATAGTGTAGTGGTTATCACGTTCTCACGGTGTCAGCCAGGCTGTGAGAGGAAGTGCCTCTGCCCCCTCTACTACCTGGACACCACAGGGCTTCTCTACGGTGCTGCCCTGCCCAGACTCTTGGTTCAAGGCCTTTAGATAACATGAAAACCCTGCTAATTTGCCCTCATTGAGCGGAAAATCAGTTTAAGTTAATGAGAAATCTAAGTACCAGAACACTCAGAACCAACTGCTAGGCAAATTGCGAACTGACCATCCTTTTATAAAATTAATGTTTTTGAGATTTTCGTTGCAAACTCAATGTGAAATATATTTTGTAATATAGAAGTTTATATTCTTTTTCTATTAAAATGGCAATGAAAAAAAAAAATCATCCTTTTACAAATTGCAAACTGGCCCAGGAATTGGGTGAGAGCAGGCTGTTGGGGGGGCTGGGGTGGGCGGGGCCAGGCCTAGAAGTGGGGCTGGGCTGGGAGGCAGCAGCGGGTGTGAGATGGACTTGGAGCTAGGGGCTGGAGGGCACCAAGTGCAGGACCAAGTGCCTCGGGGCATGCCCAGTGTACTGCCCCCGCCCTTAGCCCTGTGGGCACTGCCTCCAGCGGCCAAGGGGTACTCCTGGGGAGTGCCTGAGAGGGCTGAAGGAGTACTTCAGGGGCGAAAGCAGGCAGTGAGCCAGCCCTGGGGACACCCTCTGCCTCTCATCTGCAGCCCCCTTGCTGCCCCTGGAGCCTTCTGGGGAACTAATGGTTCGAAGCAGGTCAGGGCCACATGGGTCCTGCGCTGGCCCCTGGCTGTGACTGGGCACACTGTGGCTCTCTGTCCCTTTGGCCTCCTAAGGCCAGGGATAGCCGGAATACTCTCTGCCACATCTGCGGAGGTCCGAGGGCAGAGGTGTCAGGAGAACTCACCCCAAGGATCCAGCCCTCACCACCCCCCACTGATGTGTCCCTTGTCCCTTCCCTCCTGGGCTGGTGCTGGGGGCCAGGACTGGTGAGAGGTGAGGAGAGGAGCCCAGTGAGGGACGGGGGCCAGCCTCTCAGCCAGGTTGGTCCCTCCTCTTACAGAATGGCTGTGGGGTGGGAACCCAGTTGGCACCCGCCTGGGGGACCACAGTGGGGTCAGAATGCCTGGTGTCCTGCTCAGGGTCGCAGCCTCCAGATGCTGCCAGCCCTCCTTGCCCTTTCTGTTTGAGACCCTGCACGTTGGGGTCACCATTCCCTGTCCATGCTGTGGCCTGCTGTGGGCAGTGGGTACTGTCCTGCCTGTGTGCCTGGGGTCCTGGCTCACCACACACCTGTCATGGTGCCTAGCTGCAGGAATCCACTCTTCTGTCCCACAGTAACTGCCCAGTGGTGAGTGGCAGTCCCATGCCATGTGGCCCCCGTGAAGACCTAGGCAATGCTGCATGACCATGGGTGACACACAGAGGATGTTGGCCCTGGCCATACAATCTATAAACTCCTTGCCTGCATCCATCCCCACTGTCCTGCCTCTGCAGGTGCTCTGGGGTACCTGGCCCCCAGCCACCACCTATGCCCCTGCTCTGGGACCAGGTACCTCCCAGCAAGCTGCCTCCGGAGGCGGGTGTTGTGGGCAGCCAGGCTAGCCCCCCTCAGACAGCGCAGTTCTAAGAGGTATCCTGCACCAGTTGGCAGGTTCTTAATAACATAGCTATTTGGTTTGCATCCAAATCACAGTCTGTGTCTTCATCTAGACTTGGACACTGCTCTAACTGCCTGGTGGTTCGTGCTGCAGGTGGTGGCTCCCATCGTGCGGGCCATGCAGGGTGCTTGGGAGGACACTGGTGCCATCTGGTGTGGCCGATCACCACTCTGGAGCCCCCTTGGTGCCTGTCCTCGACGCAAGCTCTGCAGCTCAGTGTAAACAGGAGTTTCACGGGTGTCTGACCCTGGCTTTATTGGAAGCAGAATATTAACTGCTCCCTAGCCAGCTGCTGGCACAGCCTCGGGGTGAGCAGCCTCATACTGCACACCCTCAGCAGGCCTGTGGGCACCAGCTCTGCTCCAGGGCTCTGGGCCTCCAGAGTCAGGCCCGGCTCTGCTTCATAGCTCCCCTTGGGGCAGTTGGAGGTGAGGGTGGCAGGGGCTTCCCTGGTCCCAAATCGGGTAGTCCCAGGCAGCCAGAGAGACAAAGCCCGGTGGACAGGGTGGCATACATGGCCTGCCATGCAGGAGTCGGAGGTCACAGTGATCAGGGCTGCCCGGGTAGGTGCTGAGTGGGGCTACGGCTACAGGCCTGAGCCTGAAGAGGATCTTAGCTTGTTGCCTACCTCTTCTACCTACTCCCTGTTCCCAAATACATGGAGTTTGGTTCCTTTGGCATCCTCACCCTTCCACTGCACATGTCGCTCAGAGCTGCGCCTTGATCTCCCAGCCCTCCCCCTCCTCCCTGCCTGGTGATGATCTGTCCTGTCCTCCACGGGCTCACGGTGGTCAGAGGTGCCCCACTCCGTGATACTGGTAGCAATGGAGATGTGAGGTTGGCTAAAATGTTTTATAGACACCTCTGCCACAGAGGGGCCCAGAAAACAGGGCACAAGAGGCCAGCCCGCTGAGCACTTCTGGGCAGGGGCCCCTGCCCCCAGGATGGCAAGGCCACCCTGCCCCACCTCTCCATCTTTCTTGCGCACCATCAAGTGGTTGTGATGGCCCCATGCAGGGAGCTGGCAGGGCATATGAGGCACCCACCTCTCCTACTGCTTGTCTTAGGGCATCGATTTCTGCCCTGGGCAGAATGTCTCAGGAGTCACCACCCATACCCAGGAGGAACACACGAAGCTGCCGCTGCTCTTTCACCTGGGGCGCGACCCTGGGGAGAAGTTCCCGCTCAGGTGAGTCTGCCGCAGCTGTGCTGTGCCAGGGTTCTCGTCTGGTGGCAGCAGGGACCTGTGCCTGTGTGCCAGCGAACCTGGCCCTCCGCCCTCCCCTGGAGAACAGTCCCTACCTGGGGTTGGTGGCTCTGCCCTTCCAGGATGTAATCAAACCTCCAGCGACTGTCACCTGCTTTGAGCTACCATGAGGGTGGTCAGAGCAGGGGTGGAGGCCAGGCAGGGGTGTGTGCCCTGTAACTGACCCTGGCGCTGGCAGGAGGCGCCCTTGGATCCCAGGTATGGGAACAAAGCACCTCCAGGTGGGTCCAGGCACCCAGATCCCTGTAAGTAATTGGGGACTCGGGGCTCCTGAACCCCCATCCCAACCTCACTTCAAGGCTTTCGGGTCACAGCCACCAATGAGCAGGGTGACTGGCACTCCCAACACCCTGGCCCCACCAGCAGCTCCTTGGGCAAGTACGACCCAGAGATCCTGACACCAAGGCTGTCTCTCACTAAGCTGAATCTCGGTGGTTCTCCATCATCCCCGCTCCACTGGCCCTAGGGACACTGAGGCGCTCTCTGTGGACAGCCAGCCTTCTGCTTGGGACAGGCTGGGATTCAAGCAGGGCCAACAGGATTTGGGGACAGAGCCACAGGCCACAGGCAGCCACTGAACCCAGTTCTGCAGACCCCAAAGCAAGGTGAGGCTCCTGACCTCACCAGGACCTCTCGGTCACACCACTCGCCTTTCCACAGAGCCTCACTGGCTCCAAAGTCCAGGATGATGACCACAGGAAGGACGTGCGGAGAGGGTTTGGTGGACAGAATACCCCAAGTCCATGCCCACCCAGCACTGCACAGTGAGACTTTTGGAAATAGGGTCTTTACAAATGTAATTAAGGTAAAGCACAAGTGAGGTCTTCTGGAGTGGGTGCCCCAGGTCCAGAGGAAAGAGGACGCACCAAAGGAGACAGCCATGTGGCTGAGTGAGGCTGGGAGCCTGAGGGGCTACAGAGGGAGCACCCCACTGCACCTCACTTTGAGACTTGGGCTCCAGGACTGGGAGGGGATAGGCATCCTCCACCGCGAGCCCCCAGGGCACGCACAGATGGAAGCTGGGCACTGTGCACAGTGCCTGCAGACCCTCACGGACCGTCACTCACGGGAGGCATGCAGCTCAGAGCTGCTGCGGCCAGGGGAGGTGCAATGTTCTTGAGAGCCAGGGTGCCCCAGAGCAGCCTCCATGGTGAGTGGGTACGGGCCCCGGCTACAGCACACCAGACCAGCCCAGGCCACATCAGTGCCTGGCACCCCAGCAGGCCATTTGCAGCTAGGGGCCACGCAGTCAGCACTCAGCACAGTGATGGCCTGCGTTCCAGCCTCAGCGCAGCACAGTCCACACCCGCTCCTTGCCTGTCACTGCACCAGCTGAGGGACACGGGGCCCCCTCACAGCTGAGGCTACTGTACAGCTCCCCTGAAGGACCATGGTGGGCCTGACACGTGGTTGCTGCAGTGCGAAGGTGACGGCCACCACCTGCAGAGCCTTGGGAATACAGGGAGGCCTCTGAGCCGGCCGGCCAAAGGTCCACCAAGTGCACCTGGCCGTGGAGACCTGCAAAGACACATGCACTTCAGCACACATGCACCTCAGCACCCACACCCGTCCCAATTAAAAACACCAGGCAGCATGCAGGGAGAGACAGGCGGTGGACCATGGGCTGGCCAGGCTCCATGGCTGGGGTAGGATCACGCAGGAGTCTGGGGCCCCACAGTCCCTATGGCCCTGGTGCTAAAAGCTGCTCCTGGCCCATCCCACAGGTGTTGGTGCATAACCAGGCCCAAGGGCACCCGGGGCCCCTTCCCAGGTGGCAGCTGGGCTCGAGCCATTGTTGGTGCCTTCAGAGGTGGAGGGAGGTGGCCATGGCAGGAGTGCTGCCAGGAGCAGGAGGGGGACAGGATAGCACAGCCCACAGGACAGGCCACCCCAGGACCCGAGGAGATGAGGGTTAGGTGCTGAGAGGCTCTCGATGCCTGGCCCACAGCCGGGGCCCAGCACTGGGTCCATTTCCTCCACTTAGCTGGAAGTGTCTTGCCAGTAGCACTGATGCTGTGGCACTCAGGGGTGGACAAGTGGGGGCCTCTCAGATCCACTCAGGTGGACAAGTGGGGGAAATGCTTTCTGAGCCCTCAGCACCATCAGCCCCACACTGGGCTCTTGACAGTTCGCCTATCACACTCCTCCCATGTAAGTGGCAGAGAAACCACATCACACCCCTTCTCACCTGCGTGTTGGTGATGGCAGGCATGATTTAAAGTGGCAAAAAGATTTGTGGTATTTTGGCATCTTCTTGTCAACCTCACAGCGCCCCTTGGAGCCCACACCTCCAGGGTCCTCATCACAAGCAGGTCACCCTGGCAGGGACAGAGCAAAGGACAGCCATGCTCACAGCCTCCCACCCAGGGCTCGGCCTCCTGGCCCTCACCCCACCCTCTGCCCTGGCCCACCCATGACCAGCTCAGCACTGTGAGCTTTCCAGCAGGGCCTCCTGGGCTGTCTCCTTCCTAGAATGTCCACCAGCCCCAACAGAGCCAGGGAAGCTGCACCCTTGGTGACCTGGGCCCCTTTGTCTCCAGCTTTGCCAGCACTGAGTACCAGGGCACCCTCAGCAGGATCACCCTGGTTGTCCAGCAGCACCAGGACACCTTGGTTCCCGGACAGCCACAGCTCAACGTGTGCAACCAGGCAGTCATGGTGAGTGGCATGCATGTGGGCCTTGGGCCAGTACTCCGTGTATCACAGAGCTCCGTGGCATTGGACACAGCCAGCGGGCTGCAGCATGCTGGAGCCAAGTGCCTCGGAAGGGCACACCTGTTTTGGGCATGAGTGCCTGGGGCACAAGGCAGAGCTGTTTCCCTCCTCTCTTGTATGGACATTGACAGGGTGGAAGGAGGTTCCCTCAGCCCTCTACAGCTGTGGGATGAGCCCAAACCTTAAGGACTCAGGGCAGCTGCCCAGTAGGCCCTCCAGCCCTCAGCCTGGCCATCCTCATTTCCCTGGCATTGGGGAGGGGGCGTCTCCCTGCCGAGGTGGCAATGAAGGTGGATGGGGAGGGGCTCCAGCCTGGGCAGGGACGAGCATCCAGAACCCGCAGCCCAGCTGCAGCCAAGACCAGAGGCTGAGCTAGGCTTGAACTTCGTTTCCTAGAACTGGGCACCCCCAGGCTGTGAAAAGCTGGGCAAGTGCCTGCCGCCTCCAGAGTCGGTCCTAGAGAAGTGCTACTGGCCCCATTAGCATCTGCTTGGACCCAGGCCAGGCCCAGGAGCTCCTGCCAGTGCCCGAGGAGAGGCAGCATCCCAGCCGCTCTCAGTTCTGCTATTGCCAGGCGGAACCCACGACCAGCAGCAGAGCCTGCCAGCCACACCTGGCCCAGTCCCGGGGCTGAAGGCCACAGTTGCCAGTTCCGTGCTGAGCCCACGATGTTCTGGACGGGCGCTGCCTGCCCGGCCATGAGGGCCGTGGGGGGGGGGGGCGATATCGCAGAGCCCGGCACACGCGGCTCGCCTGCTCCCGCAGGGCGTGGAGCAAGTGTTCCCGCACCCAGCAGGATGGACGCGCCAGTGCAGGACTGTGGCACAAGTTGGGGAACGACAGAGAAGAAATAAAGGAGCCGGCAGCACCTCAGCTGTGTAGTTGTGGTTTTTAAGCAGGGTGTGGTGCTCTGGGCTATCCGGGCCCTGGCTACAGGAATCGCTGCCCCGCCCCGCGTGGCCCCTCGGGCTGCTCGGCTCCCGCTCGCAGCTGCTGTTGCGGAAGGAGGGGGTGGAGGACGGGTCTTCCCGGCCCGCTCGCCCCGCCCCGCCTCGCCCGCAGCCCCGCCCCTCTAGCCCGCTCTCGCCCCGCCCCACTCGCTCGGCCTAGCCACACGCTGCCATGGCGGAGCCGGAGCTGCAGCTGGTGTCCCGGCGCATCCGCAGCTTCCCCGACTTCCCCATCCCCGGCGTAATCTTCAGGTGTGGACGCGGCCTGGGCCAGCGCGGCGCCGCTCAAGCGTTGGCTCCACGCTCAGCGCGGGGTTCGGCGGACTGTACCGCCGGACAGTCCGCGTCACCAGCCTGTCCTTGCACAGGGACATCTCGCCCCTCCTGAAGGACCCTGAGTCCTTCCGCACCTGCATCCGCCTGCTGGCCGGCCACCTGAAGACTGCGCACGGCGGCAAGATCGACTACATCGCAGGCCAGTGCCCTTCCTCCCCTCCGGCCCCACCCCATCCCTCTGTGCCGCCGTCGCCACGTGCCTCCGACCTCTGATCTCCAGCCTCTGGCCCCTGGTCTCCCTCTTCCTGCTGGGGCTGGCCCCGCCCCACCTTGGGTGTACAGGTCGGCTCTTCCTGCCTCCCCGTGTGGCCGGTGTCGGCCTGGTACCCAGAAGGCCAGCTTCTGTGGGGCTCGGGGTGCTTGGGAGAGGGCTTTGGCTCCCCGGGAGAATTGGGTAGCCTAGGCAGGTTGTAGGCCTAGACCTGTCCCCTCTCCAGAAGGCCTGCCGGCCTGAGATCACCTGCAGGCTTCTAGGTTCCTGGCTGCACTGCCCAGAGCTGGCCGGTCCCTCCCCCAGGGTCTTTCCCTGGGCCACTCTCCCTCTCTTCTTGTTCCCCTTGGCCAAGTGTATTGAGCTGTGCACTAGGCCCTGGACCCAGCCTTGGGCCTGCAGAGAGGCCCAGCCTTGAGGGCTGTGCCCACAGTGAGAGGCCTCCTGCCTCCCACGGGAGGGGTTGCCCAGGAGAGGGCTAGGGAGAGCAGGTGGGCCTCACCGGTCTCCCCCCAGCCACCCTGGGCTCACTGTCCCAGGGAAACCACAGCAGTGCCGGGGCCTTACCCTCCTCACTTCCTGCCAGGACCTCCCATGAAATGGGGTGTGTGGGGTGCAGTGAGGGAGCCCACCACAGCCCGGTCCCCTCCGGAGATAGCCAGGCTGGCCTCGGCCTTCTCTGTCATGGAAGCTCCCAGAGCGGGGGGTGACGGGACCCTGCAGTGGAGAGTGGCAGGGGTGTCGGTGCGCTGCTATGTACTGTGGGCCTGAGCTGCCAGAGTCGGGCAGTGTCCCCAGAGCCACTTACAGTGTCAGCCCACAGGCTCCACTGGGTCCTGAGATAGACAACACTGGATGCCCCTTGCCACTGGTGGCTGTCTGCTCCTCCAGCGTGGCCTGTGGGGCCCCCTAAACTGCCGTGCCACCGGCCACTGCCCAACACCCCACGCCCCCCTCCCCAACCCCACAGGCCTGGACTCCAGGGGCTTCCTGTTTGGCCCCTCGCTGGCCCAGGAACTGGGGCGGGGCTGCGTGCTCATCCGGAAGCGTGGGAAGCTGCCAGGCCCCACCGTGTCCGCCTCCTATGCGCTGGAGTACGGGAAGGTGAGTGGGCGGGGAGGACCACCAGAGAAGGACAGGGCCAGGGTCCTTCAGTTCCCCTGGGAGCCTCTGGGAGCCTCAAGTGGAGCAGCTATGGTTGCAGCAGACTTGGGAGCTCAGAGGTTTCCACACTAGGCCACACTCATGCAGCCAGGAAGTGTCAGGGTGGGATTGGCCCCAGGAGGGACCACATGCCGGTACTCAGGCGCTGGGGGTGTCCATTTCCTGTCTGCAGGCTGAGCTAGAGATCCAGAAAGATGCCCTGGAGCCTGGCCAGAAGGTAGTCGTGGTGGACGACTTGCTGGCCACTGGTGGTGAGAGCCTCCTGGGGCAGCTGAGGGCCTGGAGAGGGGTCTCAGTGCTGGGGCAGGGGGTTGTCTCATCAACCTCCCTTTGTCCCCACCCCTAGGAACCATGTGCACAGCCTGTGAGCTGCTGGGCCAGCTGGGAGCTGAGGTGTTGGAATGCGTGACCCTGGTGGAGCTGACCTCGCTGAAAGGCAGGGAGAAGCTGGGGTCAGTCCCCTTCTTCTCCCTTCTGCAGTATGAGTGACACTGTCTTCAGCTGGGCAAGAAACCATTCACTTTGTGCCTTCAGTGACCTGCAAGGGCAACTCGCTGTACCTATGTCATTTCTACCTACTGATCATCTCCTTAGGGGAGTGGCCAGTGCCCAGTCCCCAACTGCCACAGCCAGACAAAATCAGTAAACAGCTTTGTTACCCACACATCGATTAGTGTAGACCCAGACTCCATCCAGCCTTGGCCTCCCTGGTGGCAGCCCCAGCCAGGACAAGTAGACAGGGCAGTCTTGAGCACCTGCTTTGTGCCTGTCCTTCCTGGATGGCCAGGACAGGCTGTGGGAGCCCACTCTGTAGGGGAGCAGACAGGTCTCACAGCCACATGGCCTCCTTGGTCTCCTTTTGTGGCTTAACAAGCACTTATACTTAGTGGTCTGGCACACCAATTCCTTCTGCAGATGCTATGCTTCCACCAATCTGAGGATCCCCTATGATCCATGGTGACACCAAGTCACCTGGGTAGTCCAGGGCCACCTCTCCATCTCATGAAGTCCTGTCACCTAAACTGAGCACTGCCACCACTGCCACAACAGCCCACATGCAGGATGTTATGGTTTATGTCCAGGTGTAACCCCAAAGCCTCATGCAGTTTTAGATGGAGCTTTGTCAGTAGGGCTGAATCTGGAGCATGTGGTTGATTCATGGTACAATGCTGAGCTTAAGGGTGTGTAACTGCTGGCCCAGTCTACTGACTGGATTGGCACTGCCCTAATCCTGGTAGACTGGATACCACACAAGGGACAGAAAGGCTCCTCTCCTTCCCTTGTTGCTCCTGCTGCCATAAACGGTTGCCTGTCTGCCATGTGCCACCTGACTGTGGGCTGAAACTTCATGAGCCAAATAAACCTTTCCTCTTTTAACTTCGGTTGTTGGGTATTTTGTCTCAGTGAGAAAAGACAGGATCTAGTCTCCACCACAGCAGTTAACAGCACTCCAAAGCAGTAGTCTCGGGAGTGAATTTTATTTAAATCTTACATGACTCACTTTATAAAAAGCCAATAAGATTACAAAATGGGTTCTCCTTCCAAGGCCTTAGATATTTGAAAAGGCTAAACTAGAAGTAAGCAAAGCAAACAGTCCCACCTTAAGTTCTACAGATTATTTTAGCACAAAACCTAGAAAACTGAAGTTCTCTTCATTCTAGAGAGTCTGACTTCATGCTGCCACATGGAACCTCATCTTTCATCCACTGGTGTGCCCAGAGGCCCACACTACCTGCTGGCATGGCATGTCTTACAGGAAGGCATCTCTTGAGTACAAGGCAGGCAGCTCTGGGTATGCTCTGAACTCAGCCTGGCTCTGGCCTTGGGCAGGACCTAGAACAGGCTTGAAGTAGCCTGTGATGGGGGAGATGCCCAGCAAGCCTGTGGGTGGACATCAGAACAGCCCCCCATCACGAGGTCACCATTCACACGCTTCAGCACCAAGACGCAGATGGGAGGACACTGCCAACCACACTGCCAGCTCTGCACAACACCACTTCCTGTGCAGCCCACCAGGCGCTGGGCCCCTTCCCTGCCCACAGCAGTGCCGAAGGACTGCACGGCCGTCAGGCAGCAAAGACAGAGCCCCACAGGGCAGAGGCAACACCAACACTGCATGAGATCCTGGGAGCCCACATGACAGGAGGCTCAGGCCACAAAGCCTGTTGCCATCAGGGACGGGGACTTTTGGTGACAGGAGTGAAAGCGGGGCTCACTGCCCCTCCTCGGTGCGGGCCTGGCGGGCCAGCCGTGCAGTGATGGAGGCCAGGTCGGCGGCTTTGTCCAGCTTGATGTAGGTGTCGGTGCGGATACGGTGCAAACTGAGCCAGTCAGGCAGCAGCTCAACGAGGAGCAGCAGGTGCTTCTCCATCTCCCCTGTAGCGGGAGGGCGCAAGTGAGTCCCACGGACACCAGCCAGCTCCACTGCACAGCAGGGCTGCGGCAGCCACAGGGAATCCTTAGGACTGGACTACTCTGAAAAAGCACTGAACGCCTACTATGTGACTACTTCTCACAGGGACTGTGCATCCCCAGGCGGTACCCTCAGCAAAGGGGCCAGAGACAGGGGGCCTGGCTGAGGCCCCAGCGTTCGGAGCAGGATCCCCAGCCCCAAAGCCTCGGGCAAACAGTGCCCTGCAGCCCGGTAATCAGAGGCCTGGCAGGCGGGCTGGAACACTGCTAAGGTCAGGATTCCGTTCAGAGGGCCACAGAGAAAGTGGTTCATGAGGCCATGCACGAGGAAGCCACAGGTAAGCTGCAGAGCTAGGCAGGGCTCAGTGGGCCTGGAGGCCACAGTGCCCACACACAGCACGCGCCCTGTGGGCACCAGATGAACAGACCAAGTCCATACAGATGCCCTGGCGGCAGGGCTGTGCCCACCCTCAACTCCACCCTGACCTACACGTACCCAGGCTCAGGGTGGCTCGGCAGCTGCCCACCATCCTGGCACAGGCCACCTCCATGGTGAGTGCGGGCTTACGCTCGGCCACAAAGACACCACGCAGCACACGTGCCAGCTCAGGCAACCGTTCCAGTCGCTGCAGCCTCAGCTCAAGCTCCGGGCGCCGTGTCATTTGTGCCAGCTGTTTCTGGGCCTCTTTGGCACGGATCTGCAGCAGGTAGGGGGCAGGTCAGCAGCAGCAGGTCACCATGAGCACCTGCCTGTCCTCATCCCCATCCCCGTGGACTCACCCGCTCCAGCAGGGCCTGGGGCACGCCCTTCAGCACGCTGGGAGGGATGGTGGGCGGGCTGGCAGGCAGTGCTGGGCTGGGGGACCCAGGGCTGCGGGGCTCTGCTGCACACAGAGCTGCGTGACTCAAGGCCTTTTCCATCTGCAGGTGGGCAGAGGTTGTAGAAGAGAGGTTGTAGAGCAGTGTATGACAGCGCCTGGCTCTGCCCTGACCCCCACCCAGCCCTCCAGGCCCAGCACTCAGCAGCGCTCTGGCCTGAGATCCTAACACAATACACAAGGCACTTGGAAAGCCCCCAGGGAAGCAGAGTATGGGGCTAGGGACAACCAGTGAAAAAGGACCTGTCCCGTTCCTTTCTGGGTCACCAGCCCAGGACAAGCCAGACATGGCATCAGGTCCCCAAGGAGGTACAGGTCTGGTTGGGCTGCCCTGCTCCCCCCAGGAGAAAGGGGCTGAGTGGGGGCCCAGCAGCCTCACCCTGGGCGACATCAGGTTTCGGGCACGGGCCAGCACCTCCTGGGCAGTGGTGAGCTTCTCCGCGGTGGGCGGCTGGGGAAGCTCGGCTGGCTCAATGTCAGGCACTTCGTCCACATTGAAGCGTGGGTGCCAGCGTGTCAGCTGGTCCTCAGGCACAGCCATGGGGGGGTTCAGGGAGGCCAGGAAGGCCTATGGGAGAAGGAGTAGGTGACCACTTGGTTTACTCTGCCAGGCAAGGACACACACTGCCTGGCACACAGGTGGTGCTGATGAAATACACTGGACCCTGTTAGCCTTGAGCTCACCAGCCCACCGTACAGGGAGGTGGCAGCAAGCAGAGACAGACAGCAGCCCACGCAGCCAGGCAGGACAGGGCTACAGCTGGCTGCACAAGGACCAGCACTGGTGGAGCCAACGTCCTCTGGCGCCAGAACACAGCTGGCCACTCACCTTGTGGTGTTCCTTGACCCGGTCCACCAGGTTCTGGCTGAAGACCTGGCGCCGCTGCAGCAACCTCGAGGCTGTGAGCTGAGGGGTGGTGCCACCAGCCTCTGTGGGTAAGAGTCCAGGCTGAGCCCTGCTCCAGACCCACCTGCCACCCCTCAAAACGCGTGGGGTTGCAGGTGAGGAAACTGAGGCCAAGGAGAGGGAGCACAGTGGAGCTGAGGCCTGGGCCAGCACTCACCCACATCCAGCAGCGGCTCTATGGTGAGTTGGTAATCAGACTTCTTGACACTGTCCTTGAAGGTGGGGACGTTGCGCTCCTGGCGGAAGCAGTAGGACATGGGGTACACCGTCTTGATCTGGCCCACGTTGTACTCCTCAAAGCGCCTAGAGGAAACCCGGTCAGAAGGAACCAGACAGGGCCAGCTGCAGACAGGAGAGCTGCCCAAAGCTCCCCACAGGACACTCACCTGCGCATCATGTCCTGGACCCCCCGCTTGACCTTGGCAAAGGTCACGGTCTCGGAGCGGTTGTGGAGCATACCCACGATGGTGTCCATGCTGCGGAACATCTCAGCTAGCACCTGGTACTTGTAGGGCAGCACAAGGCCTGGCAGGCCAGGCAGGGCCAAGGCATGGAAGCGCTGGTAGGCAGGCACCTTCTCGCTGCTGTCCAGAGAAAGCCAGACTCAGAGCAAGCCCGAGCCCACACCATCCCCAGCTCCCAGCAGCAGGGCCTATGGCTCAGGGGCTCAGAACCACACACCCTTCACCAAACCCAGGCGTGGCCAGGTCTGTGGGAAGCTGCCCCAGGAACGGGGCGCAGAGGAGCATCCGCCACAAGGTGAGTCCTCTCCAGTCCGAGAATACATGTGGGCAAATGTACAGCAGCCCCGAGCCCTCTCCTGCTCGGGCCCAGCCAGGCTTCCCCACCAGCCGGGCCTCTGCCGGGTCCCTGGCCACCCACTCAGGACTCACCGTGGCCGCTTCTCAGGGCCCTCGGCCTCCGGTGGGCTGGGCTCCTCAGCACCCTCCTGAGCCCTGTCCTTCAGCGCCCGGACACGTGCACTCAGCTCCCGCGCCCGCTGGAGGCATGCCTGGAGCTCGGGCACAGCGTCTTTCGAGGGGACCTGCGGACACAGCGCGTGAGAGGCCAGTCGGCCTCCCTGCTGTCTTGCTTCCTTCCCCACCTGGCCTGGTCTGGCCTCCTCACCTTGTTCTGGGGGGCTGCAAGGAGAGACAGGTGACCGGCTGGGGCAGAGGCAGAGGTTTTCTTGACCTTCTTGGCCAGTGAATGACAGGTAGGGGAGCTGGGGGCGGCTGGGGAACCGGGAAGGGAGTCCTGGCAGGAAGGAAGCCACAGGTGAGACATGATTAAGCCCTGGAGGCACCTGGCCTGCAGAATCGGAGCACGGCTCTGGGCAACCTGACTGCCACGGGGGCAGGCAGTCAGGCTCCTGAGGCTCCTGTGACCAAGTTCTTTGCTGAAGCCACCTCGCTTGTCCAGCCCGCTCATCCCTCTGATGGGCCCTTCCAGGGCTGACCCCGCACCTACCCTTTAGGGCACCTGGCTTTTGCCAGTAAGCAGACAGGTCCCGGTTCAGACCTTCCAACTCCCTCTCAGGTGCCACAGCCCAAAGTCCTCGCCCGCACGCACCGCTGCGGGGTGGGACCCTCTGTGCCACCTGCAGGGGCCGCCCCGCGCGCTCCGCGTCCCCCCCATGTGCCCCGTGCCCCGGCCCCGTGCGATCCCCTGGCCTCCACCGCACCCCGAGCCCAGGTCCCTGCTCACCGCGTCCCGCAGCCGCAGTCTCCGGC